TCTGTGAGTTAGAGGCTGGCCTAGTCTATATTTTGAGTTCCAGGCCAGCAAGAGCTACATAGTGAGACCATGTCTCAAAAACAAACAAATGTTGAATTTGATGGCCTACCAACATTAGTGCTCAGCATCTCATAAAGGGATATGGGAGATTTAATAGCTTCCACAAAGAGAGGAGATAAGGCTAAAGAGCAAGAGACCTTACGCATCCATTGGAATATCTGAAAAAGGAATTAAGATGAAAAGCTGTTCACTGTCACTCAGAATCAAATGTAACATAAAAAACCAACCCCTGCATATACAACAAAATGACTAACAGTAAGAAGACAGAGCGCCATTCAGAAGTCTGCTTCTGGCCTCGGGGTGTCTGACACTTGCACACTGGTGCTGGGAAGAATGAAACTGAACGGGATGGGTGTGTTAGCAGAATCTCACTCTGACAGTGAGTGCTGGGGAGAAGCAGAGCAGCGCTCCTTTATTTGGGGGAATAAAGGCTATATAAACCTTGGGGAAGTGGGTAGAGGTTTTCAGGTGAGTGTACATCATTGGCTGGGGCAGAGGTGCTGGGAATGTTTCATTTGCTTGGAGAGAGGAATTCCAGGTGCTAGCTGGACACAGTGAAAGCTGGCCGCTAGGCTGTGTGACCACCCTTAGTCCTGCTGGTCTCCAGAGGAGATTTGTGGATGTGGACACATTTCCTAGAATTGAGCCTCACTCTTCCAGGCCGGTTCCCTTGGTTCCATGCTTACTTGCCCCGACCTGATGGGCTGGAGCTACACTGGGACAAGTGTGTGTGTGCTGCTCTTTCAGCTCACCTGAGTTCAGTCCCCACATCCAGGTCAGGCTTCCTACAGTCACCTGCAACTCCAGCTCCAGGGCATTCAACACCCTCTTTTGGCCTCTGCAGTCACTGCACACACATAATATTCACATAATTAAAAATAAAATCAATCTTTAAAAAAAAAAAAAAGACTGATATTACCTGTGTTGGCTGTTAGTGGGAGTTTCTTGCCCTGCTTTTAGGAGTTTAAATCGGTGGCAATGGTCACAATGGAACCCTGTGTATACCCCAAAATGTAATAGCCCCCAGATGCTGACATAACTATAATTCGTGTATGTGTTTGTATGTTAGACTACATATACAAGAATGTTTATAGCAGCAATAATGGCAAAAGTTTAAAGCTAAAAACAACTCAAGGGTCTTGTCAACAATAGAAGGGATTTTAGTGGTCATATCTGCCTGTCTGCATGTATGTTATATATGTATACTTAGAATATCATAAAAACTGTTCATCAAGTGGTAGAAACAATGTATTGTCTTTGGTAGAGATGAGAGAAACTGAACCTTCACATGTGCTATACTTCCAGCCCCAGTCTATGCATTAAAATTTAAAACAAGAGTGAACAGAGGAATCCATTTGAGGAAAGAATCTATGCTAAGGGTTGTGGTTCCCTTTGGGAAGGGATGTGAAGTGCTTGAGTACTGGTCATTGTCCCTGAACCTTAGTGAAAATTACATGGTTGGTTCCTGTCATGAGGACACATTGTGCTTTCCACTTTTGGTTTAAGCTCTTGTTAACCTAACATGCCTCTAAAGACACAAAAGTTAGTTGCTATCCATTTGGAATAGAGTAGAAAAAAAATCTAAAACAAGAACAACACAATCTGAAAATGTATAATATATAACAAGTCTCTCCTTGATGGTAAAATAAAGACAAATAGCTGAGGAAAAAAAACAGATGTAGCTAGTTCAGAAATGGACAATGAACTATAAAAATGTGCTCAAGGCCAGCAGTCATCTACAGTTAAAAGAATTGCGATACATTGCCAGAGAAAGGAGAAAGGAGATGATAGAAGTGCAGTCTTTCCATCTGAGGTGAATTTGAAGAATGTTAAGCTACTCAAATTTGAAATGAGTATACCTTAAATGCAGCAATTCTCCTGGCAGACATAAAAGCCTCACAGGATACTTACTTCAGTGTTGCCTTTAGTAGCAAACAAATCTTGAAATCAACTCAAAGCCTATTACTTGCAAGGAGATGGCGTGTTGTTTTGGTTTGGTTTGTTTTGGTTTGGTTTGAGACAGGGTCTCACAATATAAACAAGGCTGGCTTGGAACTTGAGATGTAGCCAAAACTGGCCTCAAACTCATGGTCATGCTCCTGCTTCAGCCTTCTTAGCTGACATTTACAGGATGAACCACCATACCAACCTCAAAGAGATATTAATGCACTTTTATTTATAAGTATTTTATAAGTATGAAATATCATGAAACTGTTAAAAAGATTTATATCACCATGTGTATATGAAATTATATAAGAAAGGCAACATGCAGGGCTAGAGAGATGGCTCAGTGGTTAAGAGCACTTGCTGCTCTCTTCCAGAGGGCTGAGTTCGGTTCCCAGACCCAGGAAGGGTGGTTCACAACTTCTGTAACTCCAGCTCCAGGGGAAGGGGATCCCAGACCTCTAGCCTCTGAGGGCACCTGAACTCATATGTACATCTAAACACATATACCTACACATAAAATATTTCCAAAAAGAAAAATGTTCAAATTGTGTATGCAATATGATCTCTCGTCTGGCAACAATCAAAGTTGTTATAAATGTGTATAAGAATGAGGGTGGATTAAATGAGTGAGACAGAGAGAGGTGGATCATGATGGCCACAGTTAAATGCTGCTATCTGTCCTTCTGCAACCCAAGTTGCAGAACTGTGGAGCCTGGCTCACTCGCCAGCTCCAAACACTTCCTATTTAAGTAAGTATACATTCAATGTATAGCCCAATTTTTTTGACAAAAGCTCCTTTGGACCCCTTTTAGCAGTAAGTGTGGTCTCATTGGTTAGTGTCCGTGGCTCCTTAAGTCTAAATTTCTTCTGATGGAGAATTACTGTTAAGAAATGTCACTCATCTCAGTGGTCCTTACTGAAAGCCACTGTTGAGTTCAGGTTTCAGTGACTCAGCAAACAAGACAACAGTCAAACCGCTTCTAGCCATTAAAAACAGCATTTCCTGGAGTTTAGAGCACTGCAAATGTTCTCACATTGGTTCAATCGTTTTAAATGTTCACTCACATAAAAGCATGTTTACTGAAGTGTATTTTGTGGACTGGAGAGAAAGCTTGGTCATAAGAAGACTTGCTCTGTAAAGCATGAGGGTGCACTTGGGATCCCAGCACCCATGTGAAAGGCTGAGCATGGCTGCAGCCTTCAGACCTGTAACCTTGGCCCTGGGAAGGAGGAGGGGCACAGACCCCAAGAGCTCACTGTCTGCTTATGAGTGGCTGAGAGACCCTGTTTTCACACAGTAATGGAGACTGTGACAGAGGCAGACCCCTGATGTCTACCTCTGGCCTCACTCATGCACAGCCACTCACCACTCACACATGACACACAAATTACTCTTCTTGTAGTATTTCACGAGCTTTTCCTTTGTCAATGTATACGTTTAAAAAGGTCTTCAAAAGCTCTGAGACGTCAGTGATCTTTCTTCTACATGTTTGCAGTTGACTGAAGAGGGTGAAGGTGAGGTCACTCTGCATCATTGCTGTGATGTCTCCCATCGCGTCAGTGTGTTCTTGGCTTTGCAAGATGTCCTCTTTGGCGCCTGCCCTGGCAAGGCTTGCAGTACTCTCTGGACATTCCAGCCACAGAATGCTGCAGTCTCCAGTGTGCAGAAACTTTCGTCAGGGAGATTTGCTCCCACCATTAGGAAGCACAGGCCCAGAGCAATCAAACTGTTTGTGGAGGTAGCAATGCCCTTGAGACAGGTCCGGGAGGTTAAAGCCAGGGAACCGGAACCCAGACTGCATCATCAACGACACAGTGAGCGACAGCATATGGGCTCCCTCGGTTTACCCCGCAGTGCTCAGTGCAGAACTGTGCGTGGCTTTTCACGCTTCTTATTCTGTTTTTCTGAACCCTTTTTATTTTTAGGAGCTATGTGAGATTAAGCTACAGGCCTCGTGGTATCTTCACGCCTCCAGAGCAGGCTTTTGTCTGTTGCTCAACCAATGTCAATACCATCTTACGTGAAATTATTTGATATGGATTCAGTATTGGGCCCCAGAAAGCTTCAATTCTGTTCTACATCTATAGGCCACAAATTCTTAATATTATAGCATTATAAGGTTTTGTATTTTAACTAATCAAATATTTTTTATTTGCTTCAGTATCTATATTTACTCATTTTAGAGGTTAGACGTCGGTGTGAGTGGATTTCTGTCTCCTATCATGCCTAGTAGAATACTGAAAATAAATGTTTAGTATTTGAAATTTTGATTTTTTTTTTTTATCAGTTTGCAGTGACCATGTCCATACCACTGCTTTGTCTTCTAAGCCATCAGAGCACTGTCCTGGGCACTCTGCAGTCAAGGAAATCTTCTCCTTGGTAGCTTCTTAAGCCTCGATTCCCATTTTTAAATAGGAAATCTCAGGGCTAAACTGAAGGAAGCAGTCCCATTGTAATTAAGAGAGCAATATTGGTACCAGGGTATTTTTTTAAAAAATAAGTACTGACATATTTTGGTCCATGGTGGTTTTTAAACTTTTTCTCCTAGTTTTTATCATTATCCTTTGTTCAAATGAACTCCTTCTGTACATCCTGGGATGAGAGGCAGGAGGCAGGAGGAAAGGGGCTGCCTAGAGCCCCACCTCAGACTGTCGTCATCCCACCCAGCACAGCTCACCACTCACCTCATTCATGATGCTTTTTAAAAACTTGTTTTGTGATTTCTCATCTATGAAGTTGGTTTAAAAGCGAACTACGGGGGGCGGGGGGTAAAGTGGTTTTTAAGTACAAAGGAACACACTCTGGGGTATGTTTCTTGTTTCAGCAATAAAAGAGTTAATGCTCTAGCAATAGAGGCTGCAATTCTGCAGCAGGATAGTGCTCTCAGTCTCTGTCATTTGTGGTTTAGAAAAGGGGTGGTGTTCTGCATTTGAAAGGACTTTAATGAATGCTGTCCGTGTCTGTGAGAGCAAAGGGCCTGCTTGGGGAGGGAAGCTGAGAAAGTGCCGTGGCTGCCTCAGGATAGGTGGATCAGAGTTTGCTGATTGAACGGAATGTTCCACCGTGGTTCATCTGTATTCATTTTCCTTTGTTCTTTATAGTCTGATAAATTGGGATGAAAGTAAATGTAGATATATATGTGAACGATTTATTTTCCTTTAAAGCTGTTTGCTGTGTTCGGCAGGGAACATACTTCTCTTGTCTTGGTTGGATGCACAAATCTGTGCGCTGTGCTATTTGCCCGTTGCCTAGACGATCACTTGGTTTCTCTGAGGATGTCTGGTTCCCGCAAAGAGTTTGATGTGAAACAGATTTTGAAAATCAGGTGGAGGTGGTTTGGCCATCAAGCATCATCTAATTCTTCAGTGGACAGCCAGCAGGGAGAATTTTGGAACCGAGGACAGACTGGAGCAAACGGTGGGAGAAAGTTTTTAGATCCGTGTAACCTACAATTGCCTTTGGCTTCAATTGGTTACCGAAGGTCCAGCCAACTGGATTTTCAGAATTCACCTTCTTGGCCAATGGCATCCACCTCTGAGGTCCCTGCATTTGAGTTCACAGCAGAAGGCTGTGGTGGCGCACACTGGCTGGATGGACCAGAAGTGGGTGATGGCACGAGTGAAGAGGAAAATGAATCTGACTCCAGCTCGAGCAGGTTGATGATTTTCTTACCGTCAGAGATGGGGTGTGGGTACATTGTCTGTGACATTTGAGAATGACTGAATGTTTAGCTAATCTCTGTGACTGTATGTACATCTGCTCTTGTGTACTGTCTACATGAATGGCATCTTGCTATGGACATGTATGTTTGCTAGGATTTGGAAAATGTCTCAACATTAATTCTGTGAAATTTAAAGACAACAAATAGCTTTCATTTTGAAACACCTTGCATTTCATGTCTGTACATGGCTCTGCTTTGAAAATAATATATAGCAGCATTTTTATACTGCTGTCTGGCGTTATTCATTGGCCTTCTCTATTTACAGTAAAACTGTAAGACATTTCTGCAGTATAAATCTTCATATTTGGGTTATAAAGATTATGGAGACATTTTAACTTGATGAAAATGAAAGGTTTTACAAAAAGGAAACATTGTAGTTCCCAATTTTTGACACCATTTTAATTGTCAATACTATTTTTCTGTGGTTATTTCTCTTTGTCCTTTCTATGTTGCAGCTCTCCAGATTAAGACAGAGAATGCTAAGTAACACATCTCTTTCAAGGATAACACCTAATTCCCGTCATCCTCACTTTTCAAGGAAATCATGCTGTTTAAGGAAAGAAAAGATAATCTGTCAGGAAAGTTTAAGTGAGCCTGTGGGAGGGGTGCTAAATGTGGCCAACCTGTCTAAAAAGAGAGAGAGAGAAATAAGGAAAATGAGTTAGAAGAAACACAATAAAGAAAAAAGTGATAATTTCATGATGATTTCATTCCCCTTCTCTTTGAATCCTTCATCTTTAAGATGGATTTTCTTGATCAGTTTATCATGCCATGTAACAAGTTAAAGTCGTTTTTCTGATTCATCTTCATGCTAAAATATTTCTAGATATTTGAAGACACAAATGCTTCTTGTTTGACATGTAACTTCTTTTTTCCCTGTAAAGTTTCTTTGCAGGTTTTGATTATTATGCTCTCTAGGCTGGTTATTGTCAGTGTGGGCACCTAAAGAATTTCAGTCAGATAAACTCATATGTTTAAGAGTCCCATGCTTAGACATAGACACCACCTTGTCCTCTAACCTTCAGAACGTGGCATTCTGACCTGTGGGAGGGTAAACCATACACCAGCCGTCTGTGCAATGGAGAGAGGGAAATGTCCTAGTTAAGTAAACAGTGTATTTAATTAAAATTTTTTGATTATTTCATGACTTGGCTTTGTCATAAGGAAAGAGAAGCCATGAATAATTTTAATATTAGGATTAACTGAGCAAATGTGATTCTGTTATATTTGGGGGGGGAAATTTTGCCATAAAGAAAACAACGGAATTTTAACTTTATGATTCTTTTTAACAATTTTGATATGAAAGTAAATAATCATTCCATTTGAAAAAGAATACATTAAGAATATTTAAACAATTTAAAAAAAAACATTCATTTCTTCACCAGCTTAGGTTGGAAAACTATTAACATCTATCTACTGCCCATTCATATGAGCATAAATTTATGCTCATATGTTATATGGGAAAAATTCACACACACTTCCTTATATCAAAGGTAATTTACATAACCAATGAAAAATAAAAGTTAACCCTCTTTTTATATGCAAATAGAAATATTTTGGTGAGATGTTAGTTATGAAAGAAAAGATTTTTGTTTTGACTCAGAGATAGTTATTGTATATTCCTCAAGAATCTTAAATTGGTATTTTTACTTACAGAAATATAAAAATAAAATGCTAACCAAGGACATAGGTGAAAGGAGGGAGTAGACAGTTCACATCTTCAGAGACCTAACTTTTTTAAAAAAATACTATCTATACAATAAAGTGTAATAAAAGAAAATGTCTGAGTTTCAGATATGAGAGAGACATGTAAAAGCAGTTACTTTTCTTTATGGTTTGACATTTTAATCTCATCGCAAAAAAAGCTCTAAGTTTAGAATATGGGTTGTCCTTCACATCTCCATGCTCTGCATTAATGCATCCAGTTCTTATGCCTTCTATCAATCTTCTGTTTGAGTCTTTAACCTTTGTCACAGGGATACATTTGTTTCCCTCAGCTTTTTAAATAGCCAGAGCTCTGTAAGTGGTTGTCCTTCTGTAAGCTAATCAAAGCCGATTGATACTCTTGTCAAAGAAGTCGCAGTGATATCCATCAAATTCTTATACATAACTTGGAGCAATTCTTTTTGTATGTATTTACAAAAGATGAACTAGGAAACCTTCTGAGCATATTATAAATTGATATCTGAAAATATTAAAGATATACTGAGAACATACATATAACATACTGATTTCTTCTTTGAGCAGTCATCAATACAGACATCTGAACTTAAGCAGAACTTTTGGTTTTAGGATAGGTAGGTGAAGGACAGCTGAATGTTTTGCATAATCAGAATGACAGCAGTGGCTGCAAGTCTCCTGTGCAAAGACTGTGTTTTGGCAGCTGTAATCTAGCTGAAAGGCCCAAGCATTAGCCTCTGACTGCTTTCTCTGCCATTTCACTAAACCATTGAAGCATTTCTCACCTTTTAACTTTCATCTTGACTCTACAGCCGAGCTGTGCTTTCTCTGTGGAGGTCAACTTTGGTACTAAAAGATATACTTCGAGGTTTTTTTGTTTGTTTGGTTGGTTTGGTTTTGGTTTTTCAAGACAGGTTTTCTGTGTGTCCTTGGCTGTCCTGGACTCCCTTTGTAGATCAGGCTGACCTTGAACTCACAGAAATCCACCCCTCCGCCTCCCTGAGTGCTGGGATGACAGGTGAGCACCACCATGCCCTGCTTAAACTGTTTTGTTTTAATATACCATGAGGAATTTCAGAGTTTAAATAACAGAATTGTCATGCCTTATGTGAGATAGATTTCTAAAATCTTATTCTAGACTAGTTCTTACCAGGGCCAGCAAGGTATCCATAGCTACCACTATGTGACCATAGCGTGAATGGTCTCCACATCACTTGACTCACTCACTGTAGAATTAGGTAATTTTTGGCACCCATTAAGTAATTTATCATCATCATCATATAATGTGCTTATTAACTATAACCTGCTTATTAGTGTGTGTGTAGCTGAGTGTACCTGTGCATACCACATGCATGCAAAAGCCTGCAGACGTCAGCAGAGAGTCAGATCCCCTGCAGCCGATGTTGCAGGCAGTTAGGAGCTACCATATGGTGCTGGGAACTCTACCTGGGTCTTCAGCAAGAGCGTAAGTGCTCTGAACTGTTGAGCTACTTTCCAGCCCCCTATGAAGACGAGAACTTAATACACAGTTCAGATTGGCCAGGAAATCAATCCTCCTGCCTTAACCTCCTAAGTGTGGAGATTACGGGCATAAGCCACTATCCCCAACTACAACTGCCCTTTAAAGTTCCAGGCTCTTAAAGCAAAAGAACCCGAGCATAATGCTCATCACATTTTATTTTGCTTATATTGTACTTGAATCTGGACAGTAAGGTGTTAAGGTTTTAGAACCAGCCATGAAAACAATGACACACATACGCCTACACACACACAAACACACACAACACACATTGGCTCTAACCAAACAATGTGGTCATTTAACATTAGGAATGAGTATGCTAATAGATCATAGACTGAAGTGATTTTTCAAAGGATACAAGAAGCCCTGGTGACAGGTGGACCAGTGGCCAGGGGCAGACAGAGCTCTGCCTCTCAGGTTCCTTCAGGAGGCCATACTCCTTTGCATATCTTACTCCACAACGTAGGGAAATATCCTCTACGTGTGCTCCAGGCTTACTCAGCCTCCTTCTCCATTCTCATCTTTGGGAAAGACCAAAGAAAATGTGGATGTGAAGCAGATGACACAAGTCATGTATCTCTTATTTCACTGGTGAAAATTCAGTTATGTGGCTGCAACTAGTTAGAAAAGGGACTTTGAATGTCCTTACTGCCTGAGTGTAGCCATGTGTCCAGCTGAATGTCATTATAGTAGAAATAAAGAAAATAAAGAATAGCCTCAGGAAAGAATCTCGGAGCTACCTCATGTTTTTTAGGTTCTTGGTTTGTATTCTCAAAGACATTTCACAATGATTATTGACATTTTAATTCTCTCCAGTGTCCTGCGAGAGTGCCTGTTGAGTCTTCCCCTTCGGTCTGGTTACTTAAGATTCTTAGAATCATCTTAACTCTTTGCCACTGATATCCTTGCCATGATCCATGGCGGGGATGGGGTGGGGAGATGCGATTCCCAAATAAAAATATGGTTTTCTTAAGAAGGTAAAAGACAAAGATGCTTTTCTGTTTTGAGGGTTACTGAGGATTGAACCAGGGCCTCAGCCTTCCTAAGCATGTGCTCACCACTAACTTGCAGTTCTAGTCCATAAAGAATTCTTGAGCTCTTAATGTATCTCTTTGTACAACTGCTTTGTCCTGAGAAGGGAGAACTCTTGTCTGTGGCTCTACCACACTAATGCTCCTGATCTCAGAAGCTAAGCAGAGTCTGGCCTGAGGAGCCCTTGGATGGAAGGTAGCCCTGCCTCCTTTCCTTCCTCACTCCTCTACAGACCTCCCCTATCTGTCGCCTCCCCAAATGCCAAGTGGATCTCTCCTCCCTCTGTGTTTCAGCAGCAGTCATGTTCTGCCCAGGCGTGCACAGCTTGTGTGAAGTGAAGCTTATCTAGTCAACTTCTGTTTAGATTGTATATCTCTATTTTTTTGTCATTTTGCTTTGTTTGGGGTTTTTGAGGTAGGGTTTCATGTAGCCCAGGCTCCCCCTCCTCCTGCCTTTCCCTCTTAAGTGCTGGAATTATAGGCATGCAACACCACTCCTGGCTTTTGTCTGTAGATTATAAATTATAATTATTCGATGCTATCTGAACATGTCTTATAAATTATTAAACATATTTAGGGTGCTCTTTAAGAGTGCTGAACATAAAAAATTAAAGACTGCTAACCTACACTAATAAATTTGCGTTTTACTTTACACTGTGATTATGAGTATCTGTGAAAGGAGCCAGAAAGCTCACAGTACAGTAATCACACCTTTGCAAGAGGCGTAGATTCTAGATGCGCATGTTATGATGCGGGTGCCAAGCATCCATCGCTCTCACAGGAAGTGAGCCAGGCGGGCTAGCCACAGTTCCAAAGCAGCTTTGACCTACCCAAAGTCATAGGCAACATAATATCTGTAAGTTCTTTTTCAAAACTTCACTTTAAAAAATTACTCCACTGAAAAATTCTACTGTACCAAACATGGTGGCACACGTCTGTAATCCTATTACTAGGAAGCCAGAGGTCGGCAGTCTCCATGTTTGAGGCCAGCCTAGTTTACATAAGGAGTTCCAGGCCAGTCATGGGTACATAGTGGGATCCTGTCCCAGAGATAGAAGGTGTGGCAAGGAGAGTCATGGAGCATATTGCAGGCATATATATCTGCAGGGACCTGTGAAATCTGCAGAATTATGGATGCTGTCCCTGGGCCCGTTAGATATTTTCTGTCCTCTAAAACTTGAGTTCAAATTCCAGACCTTTCACTAAAGGACCTTTCTAAGCATCTCCTCAGCATCCCGAAGGCACAATGCTGCATCTTGGAAATTACTATGTAAACAGTTGGTAGTCTGAATCTTTTTAGTTCTTGCCTCTTCTGTGTGTGTGTGTTAAGCCATTTTCTGACTTACATTCATTCCCTAATTTAGTGACATAAACTAAAAATTAAATATTCTATATAGTCTGGAAATAATCCTCAATGTGTAGTTCATTATAGTGAAAATCTACCACAAATGGTTTGAAATATGATTTACCATCTTAGTAATATCCTGTAAACAAACTTAAGCAGAGATGGTAGGTGAAGTTCTTCTGTTATCATGCGAGGGTCAAGCAGAACAGAGAGATATATTTCAAATGCTCCACAATTGACCTATTCCCAGCTGTTTCCATTGTAAGTTAGGATGCCTGCTTGGTTTACTAAAGGCCATTTTAAAGAGGAAGCATGAACTTGAGTTATAAAAATTGGTAATAATGGGGATCACCTTTTAAAAGACAACCAGACAGCATTATATTGACAAAAGGCTGAGATTAAAGACCTTTCATTAGCCACTGCAAAGCAAACTGATACTTAACCCTGAGTGGACTATGCATGAATTGTTTCACTTCATAATTCTGCAAGAAATCTTCTAAAATAAAATACTGTGTATTACTCCTATTTTGATGGTGAAGAAGATAAGGCTTAGAGAAATAAAATAGCATCCCCAGTAATGTCTAAGGAGTGACTGGAGAGGAGCTGAACCCAGGTCAGTAGGACTCTGGGCCAGCACTGTTCAGTAAGACTCCATGCACTGAAAAAATGTTACACATGTGTCCTCTGCCTGTGCGGGGGGCATACTAGGAGTTTAGAGTGTGACTAGGCCAATGCCTGAGGAGTTGGAGTTTTTATCTTATTAAATTTAAACGTTGTGCGTTTTTTTTCTAAACTGAAACGAATCAAAAATTGCTATTGTATTGGGCAACAACTCTAGAACCTTCCTAAAATGCTGTCTGCAATAAAATCACTAAAATCACTCTCCAGTACTCTCCAACTCAGCTCTTAAAGTAAAGCACATAGGAAAAGACAGAGTCAGGAAATGATCACTTGTGAGTTACGTACGTAAAGCCATGGACGAGATGTGCTCTCCATCTCATGGAAGCCGCACAAGTTGTTGCTTTCATACCTAGCCTAGGAGCTGTCCTATGGGAGTGGGCTTCATCTGAAATCCTTAACTCTAATGCCTGCCCTCAGTGGACTTCATCCTCCCGTCAAAACTTTAGTCCCCAGACTAAGACTATAATCCTTAGTGTACAGGTAAGCAGGATTTCCATTCTTATGTGGACACTGTGAGCAGTTCAAGTGCCTTCTGGTCCAGTACAGTAAACTGGCTGCTGCATGGCCTTAGCTGGTCACATTGGCCACTTAGGACCTCAGATTTTTTTTCTCTGCAAGATAAGACACGTGAATTAAGTGACAGAATAGATTTCTTTTAGGTGTAAAAATGATACATATAGTAGTTAGAATGCATATAATTTAATTCCCTATAGTGGGATGGGTATAAAGTAAATTATTTTTTTAACAAAGTACCTGTTAGAATTATAGCATAATTGTATTATCCCAACTGTCTTTAAAGAAGTAAAAGCAAGACTTGCTGGGGAGCTGTGCAGCTGCTGAGGTCTGCTGAGAAGCTCTGCCCCTTGCTGTTTACACGTACGTTATTAACATGGCTGTACTTGTCCATGGATGCAAGCTGGAAGCCTGCACTTCGCTGGAACCTTCATTTGAAGGAGTAGATGTGGTTTCTATCTTCAGAGAGCTGTCATTAATTGTCACATTGAAATAATATGTTCCCTTACGGTGGCAGCAGCTGAAGACTTGATAGCAAATGAGGAAAAAGTTTGAAGCGTTCTTTTAAAGACATGAGGGTTGTTATTGCTGGCATGTACAGTGGGGCTAGAGAGCCGACTCAGCGGCTTAGTGCACTTGTTTTCTAGAGAACTTGGGTTTGCTTCACAGTACCCACATGGTGGCTCACAGCTGCCTGTAAGACCAGTTCCAGGGATAGCTGAGGCCTCCTTCTAGTCTGCACACAGGTGCACTTACACACACAGATACACATAAAACAAATAAAACGTAAAAGTAGTTATAAGAGCTCACCTATATGCTCCTTTTTAAAATAACAAATATTCCACTAATTTCTACTAGTTCACTTAAATATTTTATTCTAGGAAATTCATTTTATAAATATTAGAAATGAAAATTTTGCAAATCAGTGTTTTGAACTGTAGGTTCTCATACACCCAGCTTGCTAATATGTCTACCTCCTAACCAAAGTGTACAGCAGTGGTCCTCAGCCCATGGAAGGATTAGAAACACTTCATGGCTTTTGAAAACTACAGTGCCTGGGCCTTCCCTCAGACCCAGGTGTGAGTGATCTTTATGATATCTGGATTTCTCTTAGTATTTGAACCAAAATCCCCTGAAAGTTCCTGAGAAGCAATGAGATGGAATACTAATGAGCTGGGTGCCTCTCAGTATCAAAGACTATAGTAACTTAGTGATGACAGTGTTAAGGAATGAATGTTCTTTGAAAATTGGATGTTAATTAGTGTTTATGATCAGATGAAGACTCAGATATTTCAGCTTACTCATTGGTTAGCTATTACTGTGAATTTAAGTGAAGCATATGAAAAGAGATACACACATCAGAACCTAAGAAAGAAGTACTTCATTTACTTTGTTTTTGAGAGAATTTGTGGTTTACAAAAATTAGACACTGTGATATTTCTCCTGCTCTTAAGATATTAATGTATGCATGCCCCTCCCTCAGAACACACCTGTGTGCAAGAGAGGCTGGGAAATGCAGGCGAGTTCCCAGGCTCCCAGGAGGAAAAGGTATTTACCAAACAGCAGTCTCTACAATCATGGACAAACTGTAACTCTTGGCGAGGAACTTACTAATTTCATTGATTTCAGATCCTCTTACTTTAAAAAGTGAAAAGATTTGACTTTTTGATAATGTTATTAGTTATATTAAGAAAATCCTCTTACAGTAAGCTGAAGCTTAATTCACTATAACATTCCACAGAGATGTTGAAAATGAGAGCTAAGTTAAACACTGCCTGGGTATTGAGTTACTCAGATGGTCCAAACACATCCGGCACTGTGGTCCATTCCAGCACACATGCCCTGATTCCTGCCTTCAAGTTACCTTAAACTAATTTAACTTTTTACATACATATTATTGGTTATCTGAGTTTTTGAGAGAATTATGTTGTTCTCATGATTTTCAACAAAAACAAAAAAGCAAAATGACAGTATATTTTATAGGTAACCTATAGAAAATAACCCATCTAAGTAAATGATAACTTGTATCTCAAACACAATAATAATGATGCCATTAACTGTATTAGGAGATGTATCCATCACTATGAATATAGCGTGGCTCTTTTCCACAGAATCACAGGCTTTAGCAGGGAGAGCTCAAAAATGGTAGTCCAAGAATGTGTTTACAAGACCCCCATACCCCAGCAGGACTGATTTTAAAACACAAAAGTAGTAAGCCATGCGTGCCTGTAATCCAAGACTTGGCACACAGAGGCAGGGGTGGCTAGAGTCTGAGGCGAGCCAGGGGCGTGCTATGAGATCCTGTACAGGAAGAAGACACGGCGACAATGAGCGTTCTCCGCTAACATTGATCGGTGACATCACTTCTTATGTTGGGCTGAAGGCTTTAAAGGGACTCAGTGGGGGAACTTTAAGGACATGGTGTTTTGTTTTGTTTTGTTTTGTTTTGTTTTGTATAATGTCTATTTTCTCTTTTTCAGGACTTCCAATAGTAGCCAGACATTGTCATCCAGCCATACTATGGAGCCGTGTTCATCAGATGAATTCTTCCAAGCACTTAACCACGCAGAACAAACGTTTAAAAAAATGGAAAACTACTTGAGACATAAGCAACTGTGTGATGTCATTTTAGTCGCTGGCGATCGTAGGATTCCAGCCCACAGGTAATTTCTATATGTGTGAAATATCCCTAGATAACTTACATGTGATGAGGTGTTGTACCACAGTTAACCCTTAGGCCTCAGGGGCAATCTATCTCATAGAATGTCTGTAAGGAGAACCGAGTGTGAGACTCCTAAACACAGCGTCCGCTGTCTTTTGTGGAAACGCAGGCATTAGCCTCAGAGCAGTCAGTATTGTTTGCTGCAGGTATCAGCGACAATAAACAGTTTTCATGCATACTAAGTACCCATTAAATGTTTTAAATAATCTTGATGGAAATTAGAGTTTGTGGCTAGGCAGAAGCATACACACAAAACTATCCCATGGAGTAGAGTTCACAAAAATCTTAATTTTTTTTTTTAATTGGTTTTTCAAAACAGGGCCTGGCTGTCCTGGAACTCACTCTTTAGACCACACTGGCCTCAAACTCACAAAAATCAGCCTGCCTCTGCCTCCCAAGTGCTGGAATTAAAGGCCTCTCTCTCTCTCTCTCTCTCTCTCTCTCTCTCTCTCTCTCTCTCTCTGTCTCATGCTGTGGGTTGAACATGTGGATTAGCCGGCATGCTAAACACAGACTCTTACCACCTAGGTTCACTCCTGCCCCTCAGTAAGTTTCAAAACTCCCATGTATTCCCTCATTTTGTTTGCTGATCTCCCAAGAAGTATGAAAAATGTTAGTGGCGGGGAGTCCTGTAACACAAATGTCATATTTTTAAGGTAAAAAGAAAAAAGAAAATGTTTAGGAAAGAATAATTCATTGTTCAGTTATTCCTTGTTAATTGCCACTATGACACACAGATTATTTTTCTGTCTTTCAACATTAGTTAACATTGTCCAAAAGTTTGTGGAAAATTCCCTTCAAAGTGAAATAAAACCATTAGAAAGGAGCGTGGGTTTATAGCTGTCAGAGGGCATGCATTTATTGACTAACTCCTGCCATAAAAAGTCTGTGACACGAATGTGGTTTCTTAGAAGAGATTTCTCCGTGAATTTCCCAGAGGCACCCAGAGGCGGCTTATAGTGGCTCGGAAACTCAGCTCATTGCCTGGGCCACCAGCATGTGCTGACGCCAAGCCCTGGCACAGATGACCTTTGGACTCCTTGCTCCCTCCTGCCCTTCACTGTTTGTAGCAAAGACCTGTAGCTCCGAAAGCTTTTGGTGACTCCCCAGGTCGCCGCATTGAAAGCCAAAGAACAGTTGGGGACCTGTGCAGCGAGCTCACCTTGTGTCTCTGGTGCTATCCCACCATTCCCCCCCCCCTCCCTCTCTCTCTCTCTCTCTCTCTCTCTCTCTCTCTCTCTCTCGGAGCCCTGAGCGCTCATGGGTCCCTGTGCCTGGGAGATGGGTGTGCTCATTCTGCCCTTGGACTGAGTGAGGCGCTGGCTGCGCCTTCTTCCCCAGTGCTAGCCCAGTCTTCACTTCCCTCAAGAATAGTAATTTTAAGCAACAGGTCTTGGCCTGAGTGACACATTTATCTGTGGCCTACTTTTCTGCCCTATAGCACGTATCTTTTTATTATCTGTACAGACGGTAACAAGAAATACATAAATGTATTAAAAGTTTAAAACATTATATAAGTTGTTAAGACCATTTTCAAGTTGTCCTACATACTCACTTCTGCCCCAGTTTGTTTAGATTATTTTCAGAATCAGCAGAGAAAACAACCCTTACATTTTTCTTTTCTCATGTATGTAAATATATATTATATATAGCAAGTGTTTATAGCTTTTTCAAAAAGATTTCATAAAGTGATGTTTGCATAGTAAAATCATTTACCTCAGCAGAAAATTTTCGGTAATGGTAATTTATCATGCAAAAGAAGGAAGTAGAGCATGAAAGGATTTGTCAAATGTAGGATACATTTACCAGTGCTGTGTACTTCTGTGTACTCCTGTGAGTGCCAAATTAAAAAAAAAGAAGAGAATGCATTTATTAATGAACATTCAGCTTTAATGTACTCATTGATTGCTTTTCTAATGTGTCCTCAGACTGGTGCTTTCCTCCGTCTCGGATTATTTCGCTGCTATGTTTACTAATGATGTCAGGGAGGCAAGGCAAGAAGAAATAAAAATGGAAGGTGTAGAACCGAATTCATTGTGGTCCTTAATTCAATACGCATACACAGGTAACAAGTCAGAAGTATACACTAAAGCCCGTCAGATCTATGTTATGGAATTTGATTTCAGATTTATTTTTCTATCTCTTCTGTTTACGGTTTTTAAATAGGGTCTCCTATATTCAAGCTGACATTGAACTCACTGTGTTCAAGCCAAGGATGTCCTCGAACTTCTGGCCTCCCTACCTCTAGATTTCATATTTCTGCTTTGAATAAAGCAAGCTAATTCTGCTATGGTCATCACTGCCTCTGATGCTGTTCTGCATCGGTTAAAATATGTTAAAACCTTTAAAATGATTATCATAATGAAGCTTTTGAATAATACCTTTAAATCTTTTAACTGCGTGTGTGAGAGAGTGTGTGAGTGTGTGTGTGAGAGTGTGTGTGTGAGAGAGTGTGTGTGAGTGTGTGTGTGAGAGAGTGTGTGAGAGTGTGTGTGAGAGAGTGTGAGAGTGTGTGTGTGAGAGAGTGTGAGAGTGTGTGTGTGAGAGAGAGTGTGTGTGTGAGAGAGTGTGTGTGAGAGTGTGTGTGTGTGAGAGAGAGAGTGTGTGTGAGAGAGTGTGAGAGTGTGTGTGTGAGAGAGTGTGTGTGACTGTGTGTGAGAGAGAGAGAGTGTGTGTGAGTGTGTACTGTGCGAGTACAGCCAATGACTGCTTCCCAGGGGCAATGGAAGCCCCGGAGCTGTCGTGGCAGTGTGGCCGCCTGCTGTCTGCTGAGAACAGTGCACAGTCCTAGCCCCGGCGACATCTCCTCAGCCCTGTGGGTTGTGCTTTAAAGTATTTATAAAAATAGCACAGGTAACTTCCGGTCAGAGCACTCATTGTGCAAGCATGAGGGTCTGAGTTCAGATCCTTGGCACCCACCTAAGACCTGGGTGTGGATTTGTGTAGCTGGAACCCCAGCACTGGAAGAGAGAGGCCTCTGGCTGGACAGCTGAGGTTAAAAAACAAAAACAAACATAAAAGCCGTGAGTGCCAGGTTCAGCGAGAGACCCTGTCAGAGCTCAAACAAAGGGGTGATAGAACAAGACATCTGATGCCTCCTCAGGCCTCCATGTCCACACTCGTGCATGTGTGTGCACATACACACAATAGAGTTATGGAATATAGTCAAAAGTTACGTTTACAATTTAAGAGTTATTCATCAGAGATACTAGTTACTACTTAGTGCAACGTTTAAAGATTCTGAAATAAGCAGAGGTCACAAGGGGTAAGGGGTTAAATGTTTACACTTAACATTTAACCCCTTATTTTCTTTTTGGAATCGTAAGCCTTCTAGATCTGCAAGGTGTGTAAGGGGCTCTTGTTTGGAAATCAAGTTGTCACCATCAGGTATTGTATAAAGCAAGATTGATGAACTGACTTGTTAACGGCCTCCCTCTTCTTAGGCCGACTTGAACTGAAGGAGGATAACATCGAGAGCCTGCTGTCCACAGCGTGCCTTCTCCAGCTCTCCCACGTTGTGGAGGCCTGCTGCAAGTTCCTGATGAAGCAGCTCCACCCGTCCAACTGTCTGGGAATCCGATCTTTTGCCGATGCTCAAGGCTGCACAGATTTGCATAAAGTGGCTCACAATTACACTATGGTGTGTATTTTTTGAAAGTCAGAGAGTCATGTCCTCCTGGCCCGTTTCTTGTCTTTGAAAGTTCATCTATCTATATGTTGCTGTTTTTGTGTGGTTTTGCCCCAAGTTTTGAGGTTCAGGTTTATGGCGTAGCACTAAGCTGGGAAAGGAAGACAAGCGGGGAGCCTGCTGATGGAGACTCCTAGCGGCAGGTGTGCTGCTCCTAAAGCAGGCCTCCTCAGCATCTCATGAGAGCGCCTGCTGAGCTTCCGATCCGTCCTGTGGGCACAGGCAGTGCAGCGCCAGTGGCTGTAGCACCAAGATGAAGGAGAAAAGGATGAATGGGAGACCTATTTCAGAGGCCTCTGGCTACACAAGAAGCGCTCACCACCGTGTGGAACAGTGCTCTGATTGACTGCAATGAACCATGTGTTCAGAATAACCCAGAGGAGGTTCTTAGTCAGCAGCCTGAGAGATAATGGGACTATGATTGATCTAGGGTAGCAAAGGAATAAAGGGCATATTGATGGCATCTTGTTAGGACCAACCTTCAGTTTCAACAGTGGAAGAGAACAGGAAGCTGCTACACCCTTTTAAACACTATTTACGTTTTTTATGTTTATTCCTCCCTTCTCCACCCAGTCCCTTCCAACACCCCAACACCAGCTAGGAGAGAAGGAACATTAGGGGGAGGAGGGGGTGGAGTTCTCTTTAGCTATTTCCTGCTGGTCAGGTTCCTTGTGGAAAGTCCAATCTTTGTTTCAGGAGATCTCCAGCTTCTCATCAAACTGCATCAGCAGCAGTCAGGAGCAGCAGGGGTGGACACCAGCAGCCTTCTTCGGAGCCCCTCAACGCTCTCTGGGCTCTGGCCTTTCTTCCCCTCAGAGTCCTCAGATTTAAACTATCTGCAGCTGACAAAGAGTCGCTCTCAGAGCCTGCATGACACAAATATTTTGCTGCTGTGGACAGTCTGAATCCCATATCCTACACCTGGGATCAAAACAAAAACATGTTTACATCCACAACAGGAAGTGGGGATGGGTTTTAAAGCGTGGACCATCTTCCCACAGGGGAAGTGACTAGCCAGTGCCGCCTCGAATGCTTCACCGATGGCGATATGACCGCGAAGAGAGGAAAGGGTGCGAGCATTTGTGTGCATTTATTCAGTTGCATGGCCCTGTCAGGGAAAGGTTGAGGCGCTGTTACCTAGTCTGTACCCTCCTCTGTCTTCCACCCTTCAGCTGAGTTGGTTTGTCTTGGAAAGAGACTCACGGAGGTTCAGCAGTTTTCATTGTAGAAATTTAGAAAAAGCTATGAGGATTTCTCTGAACAGAAGCACACACACAAAACCACACCCTTGTGATGGGCTTTCCCCGTGTGGTGTCATTCCTCCTGAGATCTGAGTCCTCCATGACTGTCACAGGGCACCCTGGAAAACATAAGGCACGGCAATGGCAGTGTGAGCTCACGTTTTCCAAGTGAGTCCTTAGGATCCACCCGCATCCCCACACTTCTCTGTAGATTGCCGTTTCTTTTTCGGGGTGTAAGGGTGCTTTGTCTACATGGATGTCTGTGTACCACTGCATGCCTGGGGCCGGGGAGGGTCAGAAGGGGGCATTGGATCTTCTGGAACTGGAGTTACAGGCAGTTGTAAACTACCATGTGGGTGCTCTAGAAGAGCAGCCAGTGCTCTTAACTGCTGAGCCATCTCCCTGCCCCTCATTTTTATTTTAAGTTTATATCCACAGTTTTAAGCACCTTCTAGAATAAGTTAAATGTTAGTAAATAAAATAGAGCAGTTTTTTTCTTCTTAATAAGTTTATAACTTAACATCTTTTTTTGATTAATAACCTATATTGGTGTATGTGTGTGTTGTTTTGTTTTATTTTGGTATTCGAGACAGGGTTTTTCTGTATAACAGAACCCTGACTATCCTGGTCTCACTCCGTAGACCTGACTAGTCTTGAACTCACAGAGATCCATCTGCCTGTGCCTCCCAGAGTGCTGGGATTAAAGGCGTGCGCCCCCACACCTGGCTGTTGTATTCTATTTTTATTACATACATTTATGGACGAGCAAGTGCGCTCATGGAGGTCAGAGGAGGCAGTTCTCTTCTACCACGTGGGTCTGAGGGATGGAGCTCAGGTGGTCAGGCTTGGTGGCAAATGCCTTTACCCCTGAGTCATCTCTCTGGGACCAATCTCTTCTTATGAAGGAATTTTGTACATGTGAAAGCATTTGTAGGCATTTAGGTTGTTCCTGTTGTTTACAGTACAGGCATGAAAGCTGCTTAGGTTGAGATGCAAAATCAATTGAAATTAGCTGGATGGTTTAAAGCTGTTTTCATAGCCAATTAGTTACAGTAGTTTTTTGGTTTTGTTTTGTTTTTTTTTAATGTCAAGGTCATTACTTGACATTACTTAGTTTCAATAGAGATATGTGGTGGAACTCTAATAACAATAAGTAATTTAGAGGCAGATTGTCTGATTTGAATGTTGCTATGGGAACTGAATAAGAATGCAAAGCAAAATTCAATCTTCAATTTAAATAAATCCCTCAGTACTTTCACTTACTTAAAAACCATTTTGAAGGGGGAAAGAGCAGCTCTAGCAAGCATCTGTAGCATGATGTCTGCTTGTTTCACAAAGCAGATTGAAGTGCAGCGCTGGGCCGTGAGCCCCGTCAGCACACGGTGACACACATGCTCAGACATCCTACAGCGTGAGCAGGGCCAGAGCTCCGTGGGGGCTGCAGCCGCAGCTTCTGTTCTAGGTCCCACTGCTACAGACCACGACCTGAACATCTCCTTTAACCTCCAGAAAGAGCATTCTAGACCAGTTTGTCATTACAGCTGCTTAATGTCATTAGAGTGGTGTGAAGCAAATGTGAACATTTACTTTTAAAATTCTGAATCTTACTGCTCAGTGTAGAAAATGTGTAAAATCATCAAATTCTTCTCCAGTAGCTACTTGAAAGCAGAGTCATGCCTTTGAAAGGAACTTCGTGTTTAAACTTATTCCAATAGTATTGTATAATCTACTGATAAACTCATATAATACAAATATACTAGATGAAAGGGCATTTCTCTGAAATGGGTAACATTAACAGTTTGACAACTAGCCACCTCTTACTGATGAATGCAGTTAATACCATTGGAAAAATAGAACAGTCACACTAGTGTTGTGTAAGCATGGTGTTTATCCATTGCACCGTGCTTGTACCCAGGCTGGCCTCAGACTCACAGTCCTTGAGCCCTTTTGCTCCTCAGGGTTGAGATTACAGGTATATGCCACCATGCCTGGCCATACCATATTGTTAAATGACAGAAATGCATCCTTCTACTTCTCAAGACTTTCCCCTGATATTATATATTAAATGTCTTTGCATGCAACTATGTCATATTCCTCCAAATTCATATTGCCTGTTTAATGATCATTTAGTTATAACTTCCTATAGTTAGACTTTGGGCTATTTTACTATAAAAATCGATAATAACAGTGTTGGGTTTCAGACCCAGGACAAACGGCAGAGGTGCCCAGTGCCCATCTAACCAAAACAGACCTGGCCCCCAGGTTCCCCCAGCATCCATCAGTCCCTGTCTGTTACAGGACATAGCTAGCATACCCTGCCCTCTGCCCTGAACTTTCCAGCCCAGGAATTTCCCTCCCGGAAGAAGCTCTTCTGCATATCCTCTCCTCTCTCTCTCTCTCTCTCTCTCTCTCTCTCTCTCTGCCTGCAGGCCCACTCTCTCTCTTTCTCTCTCTCTCTCTCCTTCTCTCTCTTTCTCTCTCTCTGCTTTTTTGTCTCCCTCTGCATGGCGGCTTCACTGACCCCTCCTGAGAGCTGTCCCCAGTAAACCTGCATTTATATACTCTAATTCGGCTTTGGTTCATTTCGTCAGCAAAGATAACCTATCAAAAAGAAACATTCATAGATATTTGGCTTTGTTCCCCATTGTGCAAAGTATTTATTAAGGATTAAAATGACGAGTAGGATAAATGGGCTGATAGTTACAGTGTGGAGTTGAACCCTGGGTCTCACTCATGCCAGGCAAACACTTCTCTACCGAGCTATAGCCCCAGCTGAGTTTTGATAACTTTGAGCTCTTGCTGTGTGTTTCCAAAATGTCGTATAATGACAGTCTGCAATTGAGTACAAGAGTTTGCTTGAAGCCATTCCAGCACTGAGATTTTATTAAAATATGTTCCTGGAAATGATAATCAGTCATTTAAAGTAGATTCATTTTGGTATCTTTTAACAAATCATGATGAATTGGAGCAATTGAATTTAGTTAATTATTCATGAATGGTTTTCCTCCTAAGACTGCTGAAAGGAATGTCAGCCCAAGATAGGTTTCAGATCAGTATCTGGCTTGGGCTACCACAGGCCTAATGGAAAGTGTGACCCTCATTTAATATGGAAAACAGATATTGGTAGGCCTTGTCTCTAGCCCTGATTTAAACAGCTTTAGCTCTTTTCCTAGAGCCCAGTATGCTGAAACAGATAGTGCGTTAGGAAGTGTAAAGGAAACATTACAAGACTACAAATTTGGAATTTGCATTTATATCCATGGTGTAAACTATTCATGCATTAAGACTTGCAGACTTCAAAACAGAGGAAGTGAGGTTTCTTTCTCTGGGGCTGGAGAGAGGGCGCAGGCATGCACTGCTCTTGCAGAAGACCCGTATTTACTTCCCAGCACCCATGTTAGGTGGCTCCTAACTACCCAGAACTCTCGCTTTTGGCCTCTGCAGGCATCTACACCCACACACAGACACACATGCGTGCACACACTTTAAAATAAAAATAAAAGATTTTAAGAAAAGATTTCTTTCTCTCCAGGTTAGTTAACACAATAATGATAAGCAAGTTATTTCACGCCTTGAGGGCATTTCTAGTGTCCCATTTTAAATCATAGAGGGCTTGATCCTAACATGCAGCCAGGACAGATCCTAACATGCAGTCAGGAACAGTCTAAAGTCCTGCTAAGTTAACAGTGTGTGTGTGTGTGTGTGTGTGTGTGTGTGTGTGTGTGTGTGT